TTTACAATCGCACTTTGCTCGTAACGATAATGTTTTTAAACTAATATTGTGTTAATATGTGTATGATACGAGGGCAAATCAATAAATTTTTTAAAAACCATAGTAAAACACATTTTTTTTGATCGATTTTTATTTCTCAACATAGTCTCCTTTCAGCTTGATACACTCGATCCAACGATTCTCCAACTTTTTCAAGCCGTCCGAATAATATGATTTGTCCAACCTTTTAAAATAAGCCTCTGTTTCGGCGATGAGCTGCTCTCTAGTGGTAAATCTCTTTCCTCCGAACTATTTCTTCAGGTATGGAAACAGGAAATATTCGCAGAGGGCTAAATCTGGCGAATATGCTGGATGGGGAAGCAATTCGTAGCGGAATTCGTTGAATTTGGCCATCGATGCCGGGCACGTGTGAATTCGTGCATTGTCTTGATAAAAGAACACTTTCTTCTTCGCCAAATGGGAACGTTTTTTTCTTTAAAATGTTGTTGAAACGGTCCAATAAGACTGCGTAGTAATTGCCATTGATCGTTTGCTTCGACGGAAAGTAATCGATATGAATTATACCGCATGTATCTCAAAAAACTGTGACCTCACTTTTCCAGCCGACTTCACGGTCTTTGTCTAACCTCAACAACAATACAATTATTTAAAAAAAACTAAATATTTATTAAATATACATACGAATAAAATCACGTTTCACACGGAAAAATTTAAATGACGAGTTCACAATAATATTAATAAACAAAGAGCTCATTTCTTAATTTTGAAATTGCGTACGTTTTTAAATATCAAAGAAACTTGAATTATAGACGTTGCGTTCTTACTAAAAAAATTTGTAATCACTTACTATTTAATATGTATAATACGAGGGCAAGTCAATAAGTTCTTAGAAAATCTATCAGAGGGCACTCGCAGTCCTGTCACATTACTTTTTGATAAGTAGCATCTTTTAGCTGATTACTGTCAAATTTTGAGCGGAATTCATCGCGTGGTTTCATTTTTTTAGACGATTAAAGTGAACAACCTTTGTATTTTTTGCAAAATGGAAAAAAAAGTGTTTCGTACAGTGATCAAACATCTATATGAAAAGTTTAACGCTGAAAGAAATCAAAGCCGAGTTGGATAATGTTCATAGCACATCTGCACCAGCGTTTGCGACTGTATACAATTGGGTGAATGAATTTAAACGTGGTCGTACTGCCACATGTGCACCTCGTTCGAGACGTCCAATTGAGACTGCTACGTCAGAAATCATCGATAAAGTTCACGATATTGTTTTGACTGATCGACGAGTAAAAATACTTAAAAAAAATCAAGTGCAGTATGGAAGTCTCACAGATTACTAAAACTGTAGTGTGTAACCGTCAATTAGCTGTTTAATTAAATGCGAGCTAAATCAAAATTATAATTTAATATTATTCAGAAGGACAGTTACTAAAAAGAAAGGATAATAAAATTTTATGGAGTCTCCTACTGTACTCCATAACTGCACAATAAAATATAATAAATTAAATTAAGATTGACGGATAAAATCAGAATAAATTTTTTATTGACATAATGTTTGCCGTGTCAACGTAGACTTCTTCTTCTTCTTGTTCGGTATTAATAATTGGCCCTTGCCGCAGAGTAGCAGTAAATCCGTGCAGAGTAAATCTAAAATGTGTCAACGTAGAGTCACGTATGAAAATGATCGTTAAGAAAGAAATATTATAAGAGTGAAAACAACATTGACAGAATATAAAAATCGAATTGAAAAATAATGTAGATAGACATTTGGATTGTATAATCAAAAGAATTAACATTTATTTATTATGTTCGTATAAGCATGCTCCGTGTCTGATTTCAAATTTAAATCATTCTCTTTAATATTTCGGACACTAACATTTTACCTAGATATCTTTCATTGTCCAAAATTTTGGTGTTTATCCAATCAAATTCATGGTCAAATTGTAATTTATGTTCGGAAATGACAGATAACTTATGTCATTATAATATAGCGCCAATTATTGACATTAGATTTTTTATATATCTGATACATATCATTCAAATTAAGTAGAAGTTTTATTTATGGGATTTTTAATTTGGTGGCAAATATTATATATAAAAATACGTACCACTTAGGTTTTATTTTTTTAAATTAGATATATTATCATTTAAGTTTTAATTCTTAATCAAGGTTGACATATGATTTGGATTGTATGAAGGAACAATTCTTAAAGATTATAATTTAGTGCCCGGTATTGATGCCAAATTTTTTATATACTTACGTATATATATTCGTTCAAATTAAGTAGAATTTTTATTTATGGGATTTTAATAGATACAAAGATATAAATCACTTAGGTTTCATTATTATATTAGGTGTTGGAATTAATTCGTAGCGTTTTTTAATGAAAGAATGTTATTTATTTCACATGAGCATTAAAAAATACATTAATGAAAGTACTTCCCATCACTTGTAAAACGCTACGAATTAATTCCAACACCTAATATTTTAATTTAATAAATTTTTTTGCAAAGCACGTATTCACATCGCTTTTTTTACCTTTTTCTAAAAAGGTAAATTTATATTGATATCTCATGCATTTTGTAGTTTAACGTCTGTTATAAATAGTATATGAATTAATCAATTTAGTATATAATTTTTTTCGAAGGACCGAAAGATACGCATTCTTAGCGCCTTTTTCTATCTTTTTTTAAAAGTTTTGTACTGTATTACTATTCTGATTTTACTTAAATGCTTTTTAAATCCGGAAAATATTTCAACGCGTTTAATTAGAATGATATATAAATTCACACAAGAAATAAGTGTTTAAGCACTAAAATCCACCGAATATCAAGTCTTTCTTATTTAAATTTTATTATTCATATCGGTCTAATTCATATCGGTAATCACACTACAAGTTGCCGATTACGATTGCAGATTGTCGGTTCTATTTTCGCTAATCACATTGCAGCTAATCCGCACTTGCTGCATCATGATTGGTTAAAATAGAATTGATAACCGATAACCGTAACCGGCAATCTATAGTGTGATTATGGCTTAACAGTCGTTTTATATTTATTATGTCCAGCAGACTTCCACGAGAAAGAGAGAGAGAGAGAGAGAGAGAGAGAGAGAGAGAGAGAGACTTTTTTCTTTCGTAGAGATCTACAATTCGTTGAAATAAAGAGATAGCTTCGACTAACAAACAAATTGAGCGTTTATAGCCTAGAGAAGTCTAAAAATTTTCTTTTCCCATATTAAAAACTAAAGCGAAGAATCCAGTATCTTCTCGTAAATGTCGCTCCGAGACAAACTAAAAATCGGTGCATGTGCACGAGTGGCAGGATCAAAAGGACACCGAGTCTATATCTCGAACACTGCGGCTAAAATTGTTCATATATTTTTATTTTATTTTTATTCTTTTCTTTCTTTCTCCCTTTTAAGTTCCCATGTAAAGCAAAATAAAAACATTGCAGTCCGTTATGCGATAATTTCAATCCCTGTTGCCTCATCGCCTCACAATAATTACTCGCCCCTGTCGATAGGTCACTCGTGTCCGGCCATTAATGCTATAATATCATCATCCGAGGAAAATCAGGCTGAATCCTCTTAGATCCACTCACCAAAACCTCCTTCCCTTTTTATTCCCTCCCTATCCTCTCCTTAATTTCTCCCTTCTGCTACATGATACTTTCACACACGCACATAAAAACATACATAATCAAAATGAAACGAATCAAAGAAATTATATAACAAAAATGTATTGCTAAATATTTCTTTTTATTATATTACTATTAAATTTAACACTTGTTTTTTAATTTGAAAAACCTCTCCTTGTATTTATTTTAAATTCTCCCGCGGTTACACTTCGCCCTCTCCCCGGTTACTTAGATTAAGCTCCATGATCGAAAGCCAGGGGATGAGGACGTATTGGCACATCTGGCGTTAAAGATTTCATCTTTAAAGCATCATCTTATTAACATTTTATTAAAAAAAAATGGGTAAAAACTTTTTTCTGAGAAATCTCATCATATTCCGCCTTATGTCATATTCAATATGATTATTTTTAAATAATTAAATTTCAAATAATTAAACTTAAATAATTAAATTAAAAGGAACTTATTGTGTGAATTCCTTTAATAGTGATTTTGAGCACTGCTCGAAAAATTGGACATATTGACGACGTACTTAGATTCTAAAATGTCTGTTTAAATAACTTTAGTATAAGACGTTTAAATGATGTTCTTGAGCTGTATTTTCGACATCCAATATACAGCGACATAAATGGGATTTTCCTAGACATGTTTCGAGTGTCCAAAAACATCGAGTTGTTGCATGAAATGATATGAAAAAACATTTCAGATAAAAATTGTATGCTATCAGGGGGCGTAAATAATGGTAAAATAATTAAAAAAAAAATCATTTTTTAAAAGTCATATAATGATTATCACCATTTTTTAAAATAAAATTGTATGTTTTTTTTTATAATAAAATTCCCTTAATTATTCTGCGTATAAATGCATTAACATCGAAACATTAAAAAATCAATAATTTATATCATAAAATACTTTATTTTACCATATTTTAACATAAAATATAAAATATCTTGTAAATTCATAATTTTTTAAATAAATGTACCTTAATATTTTTGTATATTTTTATTTATTAAATTATTATGATACAATTTGTAACTAATATTATAATTAGATTTAAACATTAATTTTATAATTTACAAGCACAATAAATATGTCTATTAATTCCTATTTGATAAATGATTATATTATTTTTTAACAATTATGTTTTAAATATATAATTTTCACTAATGACATCCTGCGTGTGCTTCTTGCTCTTTTTATTTATTATTTATAATTTAAGCCACGTTTTGTAACTTTAAATAATTATACAATATATTTTAATAAAGTGAAATTTATAGATTTTAAAAATAAAAGTAAAATAATTTTCTACCTTTATAACATTACTATATTTTAACATATATTATTACTTTCACCATTCCTTAGTTCATCCTTAAAATCAAAAGAGCGATAGAATACGATTGATTCAAAACCTAAAAAAATATTTGAGAATTATATCAAAGTATCTCTTTTATTTTTAAAACTGACAATAAATTACTGATTATATAACATTAATCATATACTTTACCGACATAAATGAAGGTAAAGACAAATTGAATCTTTCAAATAACGATAGTTTAATATTTATATTATTGCTAGCTATTATCATTAAGAATATACGTTGTATGGATAAATTGAATTGATACCAGTTTTCGTGAAATGCTTTATCCGTTATTTCTGAACTCTAAACAAAATAATATATTTTACAATTTATAATTATAAAATATGTTCAATTAAACAATTTCATGTTTATAATTCTACATTTCATATTTATTACATTAAAATATTTTTAACGTTGCTAATTGAATATGTTTAGAAAGATTAACAGGTGCATTATTTATGTAAGATATTGCAGATAAGTCGTTTAAAACATTTTCTATAATTTAAAAAATTATTTGTGTATGTGATAATCCTTTACTTATATGACAATGGTAAACAATACATGTTATATAACAAATCTTACTGCTTCTGATAATTTCTGGAAAGAAGCACATAATATGTAGAACTGCGTTATTGTACCGCATGCGTATACAAACACCATAAATCCTTCTATGAAAGACACCGATATCTGAGAGTTGATAAACATTGCTGCTATATTATAACTAATAGTAATTTGAAATAATTCAATAATACTACTTGTTGTATTTGTTTAATCATGCACTCCAAAAAAAATGTTCTACTAATAGGGTAGAGTAAGGCTATTTGAACATAGAGGCAAGTTGATCAAATGCAAATATCTAAATAATCAAAATATATACATATAGATACGTCTATGCTTGCGTAATGTAGCACAAAGACAGAGATTACTGTGCCTTAATACAATAATCTATGTTCGGATATCAACAGCCAAATACGTGGCTTTTTTGTTTTCATATATCAAAAATAAAATTATTAGATGAATATTCTTTTTGGGCTACATGATAATTAAAGTGATGAATAAAAATTAAATGTGTTTTTCAGATTTAAGTTATTATATTTTTAAGTTATCATATTTTTTAACTTTAATGTTCAAGTTGCTATTTTATTTACGAGTTTTTAGTTATAAATAATCGCTATTTTATTTATGGTATTTCAATCAACACCGGGACTTATTGGGCCAGTATCTCATAACTAACTTTGTAAACTCAAATGTTTAAGGAGATCCTAAAGCGAAGCTCGAACTTCGACGAAATTATCAGAGATCATTGTTTTTCCAGCACATCGACATTTATAGACTTCCGGTAAGCGTGGCGGTAGGATGTATTACAGCATGCCCTATAAGTGCATTTTTGGCTATAAATCGCGGTAGCGATGGAACTATCATTATCTCGAGGGTTTTTTCTTTTTTTATTTCGCCCTCTAGAGGACGCTAGAGCTCTTGCTCCACACAATTTTTATTCGGCTCTGCGTGTGGGACACTCGAATTGTCGACTTCTAACCTCTTATCCGCCAACCGGCAAACATGTGGGCTGTCCATGCTATAAGGAAACTAAAGATGATTTTGTGACGCAAATATCAACGGGAAAACCGAGTATGAAGAAGTCTAGCGTTGAAGACACGGATGTGGATAATAAAACGAGGACATTCACCTACGGAAGATCAGAACACTGTAAGCGAGGCAGCGTCTAAGCCTTCTCAAGAGGGGAAGAGTGCTAAGAAAAAGATGACTACTTAGGATCTAATGCCGAACGAAATTAGTAAGAAGCAAACCGGACTGCCAAGCAATATCAAAGTAAACTAAAAAAAAAATACTGACAAGTCTTCAGCCGGGGCTGAAAGAAAACGCAAATATGATACCTTTAATAAAGCCCTTTATGTGGTTATGTTCCGAATTAAATCTATCAGCGGAAAAAACAAGAAGAAAATATCAATAATTAAAGTCTCAGGTATGCTGAACAAGTGTAATATTAAATTTAGCCAAATCAATAAATACTCCCGAGATACATGGAAAGTCTCTTTCCAATCGAAGATTACGACTAATAATATCTTATTTAATAAGTTGCTTGAGGAGTTTGGCGTAACGACATACATTCCGAGATATAAGTACAGCAGAAAGATAGTAATAAAGAAAATTCCAGAGAAAATGAGTATGAATAAGCTCAAGACTATCATTGAAGAAGAGAATTCTAACATCATGATCTCTAACCTATTTAGGATGAAAACACGCGACAAATTGACCAAGGAATTCGTAGATTCTGAGTATGTCTAGAGATCAGGGATAAAACGGTTCTGGTCAGCATTATTGGAAGGCGGTGCTTCCCTTGGTCCCTTATATACAGGGTGCGTCAGGTATTTGAGGACATATTGACTATAAAACTAAAATGCGTATATTTCTTAGAAAACTTATTGTATTTTATTGACTTTTTTACAGCAAAGTAAGTAACTCGTAGGCAATATAATTATTCGATAAAATCACCTTCAGCAGCAATAACAGCTTCAATTCTCTGCCGAAAACGTTTGCATGCTCGAATCAAAGGAGCCTTGTCCATATGTGTCATTACTCTGGCAATAGCTGCTCTGAGGGAATCAAGCGTGTTATGGGGATGTTTATTGATCTCCCGTTCTACAACGCCCCATACATAGTAATCTAAAGGATTAAGATCAGGGGAGCTAGGTGGCCACATGTTTGGGGTTATGTGATTTGGGGGGCAATAATGCCCTGGACTTGCTGCACAAATTGTGATGTTCTAACTGTGTCTGAACGTGCTTTATGTATTTTGCGCTTGGCAACACTTTGAACATTGCCATTAGATACTTCTAACTTTCGACGAACTTTGTGAACAAACGATCGGGCGAAATTCAAAAATTCGGAAATTTCAAGATCGCTGTGATTCGCGTGTATAGCGACGATAATAGTGTGTCTTTTCATTTCATGAGTTAGCTTATTGCCATCCATTTATGATCTGAAAGGAAAAAAGAAAGAAAAATATATTGCTGCGAAGTGACAAGCACATATGTGAGTGTCCTCAAATACCTAACGCACCCTGTACAATCAGTAAAGTTATGCTACAGATGATCGATTCGGTCACATCAGTAAATACTGTGAGAGACCGGTGGTCTGCCTTAATTATGCGGGCAACTGGGAAGCCCCCGTGTACGTTGGAGAAACTATCTGCGGAGGTCAGCATAATACTTCGGACCGCAACTGTTCAATATTCAGGAAACACATAGAGATTGCAAGAGTAATGGATCATGACAACTTACTATTTAAGGAAGCAAGAAATTGTTGGTCGAGAGAAATATCAGCCCATGGAGAATTGTACCTGCTAAGTCTCTGAGAGAATTCCCGCTCCTTCCCATGGAGGCAGTAATCAAAAGAGGAAGGTGACGAAGAGGGCCAAGGAGAATCCATCTTATAGAGCAGCGCTGGAGTAAAAAGGGTAACGTTAAGGAGGCTTTGAGTGATATCGTAAATATTGTATTAGCTGATAGAGATGCCGAAATATTAGGTAATAGAAATAAGAAGACTATCGAAGTACACGCGGCTGCCCACTCGCTAAAGAGCGGTGATAATAATGCCCCTAACAAGTAATAATAACGTAGATTTAAAGAAGTTGCATATACTTCAATAGAATGCGAATTCCGTATTGTCTAAATATAACGAACTGTCTAAACATTGTGAGAAATTTAATATAATTTTGATTTCAGATACATAATTCACCGTATAAATGTTTTATGCTCAGAGGATTCAATACGGTGAGGGAGGATAGACTAGATCGCGGTGGCGTATTGATTGCAATTAAAAACGGAATCAAGTACAGGAGGATAGCAAACATCTGGAACTGGATGGTAAACTTGAAACTTGTGTGATTAAGATCTATGTAGAGAGAGAGGCCTTAGTGATATTATAGTTTCATGCTATCGGCCTCCTAACGTTGGGCTTATTTCGAATCGAGAATGGGAACGATTTTTTACACAATTTGCAGGTCTTTTTTGGAGGGGATTTCAATTCCCACAATACAGCTTGGGGATCTACAAACTCATCAGGAATTAAATTATGGAAGGCAATTGAGGATAGCGAACTTACTTTGTTAAATGATGGCTCACCTACATTTTTCCGAACTAACTCGATGATTGCTCTATCGCTTGTTCATGAATCGCTTGCTCTGAGATTAAATTAGCGGATCGGCTCGGACCGTGAGGCAGCGACCTCCCGATCTTTGTCGAATCACTTCTAGACTTGGTTAACAAAAACAAAAAAATTCCGCGTCTTCATGTTAAAAATACTAAATTGGGATCTCTTTCAGAGGACCTTAGATGATGAATTGAAGTTCCTTCAGGATTATGAATCGGTAGTTATGATTATATTATGGTAATAATATCATACTCGAGCCATTGGGAACGCGCTCAACTGCTATCGTCTAAGCAATCTTTCGGGGTAGCAGACAGATCCCCTCGGCCCGGGAAGGGCCCTCCTTACCCGTTGTGGACAAAGGAATGCAAGAATCTAATACGCTTTCAGAGGGAGGCTCTTGCCTTGAATTTAAACGGTCGGGTCTTCAAGAGGATTTCATTGAATATAAGAAAAGGGTCGATCATGAGGAGGGAACTCTGGAGAATTAAGCAGGAGAAGTTTCAATTTTTTTGTGAGAGCCTAAGGAAGAATTCCGATCCCAAATTGATTTGGAAAACGATTAAAAGATTTCAGTCCAGATTTAATCGAATCGAAATAATGATGGAATACTCACCAGGAAAGTATAATAGTTCGCGAACAGATTGACGAGTTGAGAGTAGGCTGAGTTCCGAATAGCGTGTCTCTTTCGAGGGTGACCGTCCTCCGACGATTTCCTAGATTTAAGTTTCACACAGGAGGAGATGTTATACGTGATTAAGAATCTTAGGATTAACTCGAGTCTAGGTCTGGATGGCATCAATTATACCATCATCAAATATCTGACTTTTATGTGTACTCTTCCATATTTACAACGGTGTCTTAAACAAGAATCTTTTTCCTTCCGATTGGAGAAAATATCTCATTACTTTCATCCTCAAGGCGAATAGTCAGAAGTTTCGCCCTATAGCTCTCGCCTCGTGCTTATGTAAGGAAATGGAACATATAATAAATAATAAAATGAACTGGAGATTACAAACAAACTTCCAAGCTCACAGTTCAGTTTTCATAAGAGTTGTTCATATATGGACACCTATTCTCTATGCTGATATCTTGAAGTCATCAGATGAATTCAGCGGTCGCAGCGATGTTTTTCGATATTAGCGGCATATGAAAATGTCCTGGTAAACGTTCTGATCAACAGACTTGTAGACATGGGCGTTCTCCCCCTGACCTATCAATTTATATATATCCGCATGCCAAGTAGATATGACGAGATCGAGATTTGTTGAGTATTCAGAGGCCACCCGCAAGGCAGTGTACTCAGTCCCTTGTTATACGCAGTTTATGTTGCGGAATTTTAAAGAGAGAACTCCCAAGAATGTAGACTGATCCAGTATGCAGATGACGTGTATCTTTTCTTCTACAGGTCCCTTACAACAAACCTGAAGCTGGTTGAAAATGGTGCTAATAAAATATGCGTCACAAACTCGAATAAAAATAAAATTCTTGGGCATTAATCTGCAGTCTAACTTAAT